TATATACAGTGGCTCACAGCTTATTTGATGCAAGCAAAAATTTTTTGAAAAATGTTGTTTATTTCAAAATATTTTGCAAAATTAAAAAAACAAAGTATGCAGAGTTATTGTTTATAGTGTGTTTATTCATTTTCAAAAAAAAAAACCTAAAAATCTTCTTCCATTCCTTAGTAATGCATCAAAAACCAAAACCAAATGAAAAATTCATGTCACAGCTTAAATGATGCAGTTAAGAATACCGTTATTTTTGTCGCCAGATTACACAGAAATTAAAATATTTTTATTCTGCGATCATTTGTAATCTAATTTTTGAGCGAAAATAATATAAAAATTAAAGTGAGTGCATTTTGTTAACCATAGGACGGCGCACATCAATTGAAAAGCGTGAGTTAGTGTTGGAGTACTTTAAAAAGGGAATTCCCCAGCGTAAAATTGGTGAAATGGTAAATATAAGCTCTTCAACAGTTCAACACATAATTGAACGCCTCGTACATGAAAATCGCATAGAAAATAAGGAACGAAAGGCTCCCAATAAAATTTTTACAGAAAAAGAATCGAGGTATTTGGTAAACCAAACTCGAAAAAATCCAACAATTAGCGCTCCAAAGTTGACAGACATGGCCAAAATAGATTTTGGAAAAATTTGTCATCCTGAAACCGTCCGCAGAATATTGAGAGAATCAAATTTCAATGATAGAATAGCTGTAAAGAAACCTTTCGTAAGTGCAAAAAATAGAATTAAAAGGTTGCAGTTTGCACGAGAGCATTTAAATAAGAGTCCAGTATTTTGGCGAAATGTACTTTTTGCAGACGAAGTCAAAATAAACTTATTTGGATCAGATGGAAGATCTTATGTACGGCGCGAAGTCAATTCTGAGCTCAAAATACAAAATTTACGTGCTACCGTAAAACACGGAGGTGGTAATGTTATGGTTTGGGCATGTATATCATCAAATGGAGTAGGAAATTTGGTCTTCATCGAAGAATCTATGAATAAAAATATTTACTTAAAGCTTCTTCAAGAAAATTTGATTCAAAGTGCAACGAAATTGCAGATTGCAGATGATTTTCGCTTTTGCCAAGACAACGACCCTAAGCACAAGTCAGCATTAGTACAAACGTAGTTGATATGGCAATGTCCACACATTGTCCAAACTCCTGCACAATCACCAGACTTGAACGTTATTGAAAATTTGTGGTCCGTTTTGAAGACAAATATCAGAAAACATGACATCCGCAACAAATTTGACTTAAGAAACGCTTTACAGCAAGAGTGGAGTAAAATTAGTCCAGATTATACCAAAAAACTGGTTGATTCCATGCCAAAAAGGCTTCATGCTGTTATTACTACTAAGGGATATCCAACAAAGTACTAAGTACTTAGAATTAGTCCGGAAGTTTGTAAAAATATTAGTTTTTTTGATGTTGCATCATTTAAGCTGTGACATGAATTTTTCATTTGGTTTTGGTTTTTGATGCATTACTAAGGAATGGAAGAAGATTTTTGGGTTTTTTTTTTTGAAAATGAATAAACACACTATAAACAATAACTCTGCATACTTTGTTTTTTTAATTTTGCAAAATATTTTGAAATAAACAACATTTTTCAAAAAATTTTTGCTTGCATCAAATAAGCTGTGAGCCACTGTATGTACATACAAT